AGATGTGGCTGTAGAACTTGACGTATCACCAGTGACCTAAAGCTTAGGATTAAAGACAATGATGACATCACAAAGACAAAAACTCATACTGGGCAGAAAAGAGCAACTCTGTTCGAAAGACAGGGCAGGAGAACAGCACAGTCTGACCCCAACATCTCTGCAGTTGCTGGATGCTGGTGGATCCTACTCCAATAAGACTGTACAGGATTGGTGTCCTTGTAAGGAGACATTTAGAGACATGAAAGAGACAGCGAGGGTGTAGAACAGTGGTTCTCAACCTCCCTAATGCTGAGACCCTCTAATGCAGTTCCTCCTGTTGTGGTGACCCCCCCCCCACCATACAATTATTTTTGTTGCTATTTTATTACTGTAATTTTGCTACCCTTACGAATCTTAATGTAAACATCCATAATTTCTGATGGTCTTAGGCGACCCTGTGAAAGGGTCATTCGACTCCCAGAGAGGTTGTGCCCTACAGGTTGAGAACCACTGGTGTGAGGACACCAGGGGAAGATGTCCCCCTGCAAGCTAAGAGCAGAAGCACAACAAGAAACCAACTAGCCAAAACCTGAGCTTGGACTTGAAGCTTCCAGAGCTGTTGACAAAACACACGTGTTTAAGCTTCCCTGTCTGTGGTATTTTGTCATCACTGTTCTACAAACTGTGTTTATTTGCCTTCTTACAGAATCATGTTTACCTCAAAACTGGTCTTGTTGTTAGTGTTTGTTTGTTTGTTTGTTTTCCCATACGTTCATTGAGTGGCTGGCTATTCAGAAAGGAGAAAGTTAAAAGCACTGACCATCTCTTCCACTGTGGGCACTTTGGGAAGCTTTATTTTTAGGTATATGGCCAATTGGATCCAAATACCTATCAATAATCAATTTAAAGGGAGGAGAGGTCTGTTTGGGCTCCTGGCTGGAAGGTGCATGGTAGAGAAGCCATGGCAGCTAACGAGGATTGTGGCTGTGGGGGTCCCAGTGCAAGGCTGTGGCTCACATCTGGATAGATCAGGAGGCAGAGATGGTCAGGAAGCAGGGCCAGGTATAACCTCAAAGCTTAGCCCACCTGGTGAGCCTCTTACTGCAACTGAAGATTCCTCACCTTCCCCAAGCAGCACCAACATACTGGGACTGAGTGTTCTAACATATGAGTCTGTAGAGCACATTTTACAACCAATATATATATATATATATATATATATGCTCCCCCATCTATATATATATATATATATTATCCATTAATTCAAGACATACCCCATATATATACTTGGAATATATACTATAAATACGTGCACAAAGCTGGCAAGTGAGCAGAATTGAAACACTCATAAAGAAATCTGTGTGTTTTGTTTCACTGTGCATGACTGTCTTGAGCTTGGTTTTTTTTTCCCAAATGAGAAACCTCTCCATAGTCCACAGAACATTTAGAGTCACTGAGAAGTTAAACATTCTGAAAATGCTTGAAGGCTGCTTGGAGAAGCTTGAGCAGTCAGACCCTGGGGCTTAGATGCTTACTAGAAAATTGTACACGAGAACAATGGGAGGGACCACCTTGTGTGAAGGGCCCCAGCCCACAGTCTGCAGTTTTCTATATTTGAAAAAGCAACAATGCTGGCTGTCACTCTGGAAAGAAGGAAGATTCTCCAACCTAAAAGAAGAACCATAGGCAAACATGGAGAGAAACCTGTGTGATATAAACAGCTTTTATGGGTAATTAAAGCCCTCTTATTTTTTAAGAAAGGAATTCTTCTTTCACCCTTATTCTTGCTCAAGTGTGCTCTCCATCCTTTCTATGGAGATTATTTGAGGGTATGGCTGATAGATTCTCACCTCATCTCTAAGGGCTGCAAGTCTGGCAGGATGTGTGGGCTAGCCCCCAATTCCACTCAGTTGAGTGAGAGTTCATTGTCTCCACAAACTGTGGTAAGCACTGGGGACAAAGACAAGGAGAGGGCTTCTGCCCTCTGCGTGCCCACAGCCCACCAGGTGGGTAGGTCTTCATTCATTCATGCACACATGCATGACACCCCTATGCTCGAAAAGTCTCTAACTCGATGTGATAAGCATTTGGACAGAAGAATGTAAAGTCTTACAGTGGCAGGAGATGCAGGGAATGAGCTTAGCACAAAACAAACAAAGCAGACAGAAACCAGAGAACGCAGGAAAGGCCAAGGATGGCTTAGAGCCTATCAGGTAGTCAGTGCTCACGCCTCTGCTGGCTGGAATAGCTTACTCTCTGTAGCATACTATCTTAATGGCTCTGTGACATACTATGTTTATTATACAGTGAAGAAATGGGAGATTCAGAACAGCCATAGCACCTGCCTGAAGGCACACAGCCAGCCATCACACCTAGGGTGTCTCGCTGTCTGAAGTAGGCTTTGTCTTTCAGTCTTTCTCTTTGAGCCTGCAAACATAAAACACCCCACTAAACCAACAACAAACCACAGGAGAAGCCCAGTAGCTTATGTATTTTATTTTGCGTTAGGTCATGCTATGTAGCTCTTGCTCTCTGGGAACTCACCATGAAGATCAGGCTGGCCCTGAGCTCACTGAGATCCACCTGTTGCTGTCCCCGGAGTCCTGGGTTTAAAGGCATGTTTCACTAGGTCTGGCATAATTTAGGCTTTAATTTTATCATTGTTATCTTGTTATTGTTGTGTTTAGAAACCCCAGGCCTTATATATACACCAGACAAGGGCTTTTTCACATACTACACCCTCCTACCATGTAAATACTTTTGAAACAAATCAATCAGATGTTTATCCCTTCCCTGTTAAAAATGAAACCTTTATCAGTGTGATGTCTCCCTGCCTCCAACCATGCTGAGCGAATGGCTCACACCCAGGAGGTCGCTCTCGGATCCAGATCCGAGTTTGCTTCTGACCCTGTGCTCTCTTAAAGTGGTGGCTCAGCTGTCACTCTTCAGAAGGGAGACCGGACCCAGTGCCCAATGTCCTTCTCATTGTTCCATGCACTCAGTCTCTGCCTCTGTTATGAGGAAGTGGCTTCAGATCAAGCAGCTCAGAGAGTCCCCCCATTCTTCAGTTGGGGAGTGTAACCTTTTAAAATTATTCCCGTGCTTCTCCCCCCCCCCCCTTGTGCTGTGTGTTTCCTCGGGGAAGTTTCAGGATGTCTCAGCAGGCATCGTGTATAAGAGGACGCTTGAGTTGAGCTGAGTCTTCCAGGAAGCGGACCGTAAGATAGAACTAGACACAAGAGACACATGTCGAGAGGAGCTGAGGAGGTAGTAGAGCGTGTTTGCGTGAGCATCCAGACCATACGCCATGTGTGGGCAGAGAGGGAAGGGAGCCGTGTCGGGCAGAGAGTTCACCGCATTGTCCGGCGATGGTCGTAACCCATGTGTGCGTCTTCGTCCCCTACAGCATCGGTGCTGCAGAGGAGAGGAGAACAGGCCCATTCATCCCTGTTCTTCACCCCCAGCACAGACCTGCCACGTAGTTCGTGCTTAGTAAATGTCTGCGGTGCTGATTGGAATCTCAGGATTGTTTATTTCTCCGCAGATGCATTTCAAATCTTATCAAAAGCAGCTGACAAAATTATCTTCTGTATGAGTTCATGGGGAAGGGAAACTATTTTGTTTTAGAAATTAACTATTTTGTTAATAATTATGTGAACGACTTATGTTAATTTAATATTTGTGAAAACAGAATCGTATTCCAAAGGATTACAGTATCATGGGATAGAAAAACTCTTTTCTTGTGTTGTATGTGTGTGTACATATTTGTGTGTTTGTGGCAGTGTATATTTGTGTGTATATATGGGTGGGAGTGTAGGTCAGAGGTCAATTTTGAGTGGATTCTTCAATCTCTATCCATTTTATTCTTTGTTTTGTTGATTTATTATTGTTAGTGTGTGTATGTGTGCATGAGCACACGTGTCTGTGTTTGAGTGTGTGCGCATGTGCTTGCCACTGTGTGCCTGTTAAGGTAAGGGGACAACTTTTAAGAGTTGGTTCTCTCCTTCTACTGAGGGATTTGGGAGTTGAACTGAGATCTTCAGTGTTGCCTGGCAGGCGCTTGTTTCTTCTGGAGTTTCCTGTCTTCCCTCCTCCTCATTTTTGGGATAGTCTTTCTGAAGCTGGTGGTCATCAGTCTGTCTCGGTTGCCTTTACCTCCTTCATCGGCACTAGGGTTGCAGACAAGCTCTACAGCGCCCTAAGTTTGCACGGATGCAGGGGAGCCACACTCAGGTCCTCATGCTTGTATGGCAAGTGCTTTGCCGACTGAGCTCTTTCATAATTGATCATATTCAGTTTGCTCAATTGCTTTATTGCTTTGGAAGAAGGTAATTAATTAGAAGCCACACCATCACATGAACCTATAGAAGTCAATGAAAATAATCTGCATCTGTTTTTTTTTTTTTTGTCCCTGCATAAGACCTTAGCAAGCTTCAAGTGGATCTAAAACAAAGGCTTATTTTAGAGGAACATGTGTGTGGGCCATCCATGTGGCTGTCCCATTTCTCTTTCAGCAGGAACTCAGAATGGTGCATTGTTAAGGACACAGACTCCGAATCTGGCTTTGCACACCTCCTCAAATGAAAGGCACCAGGGTACTGACTGCACCTCACTGGGTTTCCATGAAATTTAAGAACCTTCCTCCCTTGTTCTGTAAGGCCTTCACTCTGCAGCCCAGGCTGCAATTAGACTTGCTGTGCTGTTCAGGCTTACCCTTGAGACCCTCTTGTCCTCACATACCAACCTCCTGCCCTCACGTGTACACGGCCGAACCCAACAGATCTGAACGACTTAGTGCCCATGGAAGTCCAACACAATGTTCAGAGCATTAGTCATTTTAGCCATTATTCTGTACTTTGTTGATGATGATGATGAAAATGATAATGTTTAAAATACAAGCTGCACTCTTCTGTCAGCTTTTCTCTCTTTGTTTCTTGGCACCATTTTTATTTTTACTTTGTGTATTTTCCCTCACCTCAAATTCTGGCTTCTATTCTCTGTCCATTCTTTTTGTGATGTAGAAAAATTGATGGGACTAACGAAGAGGAAGCTAGCATTGAGCTGGATGAAGAGGGAAGGCCTGTGCAGACATCCAGGGCACGCCTCCCCACCTGTGACTGCAGCTGCTGTGGCATCCCCAAGCGCTATATCATCGCTGTCATGAGTGGGCTGGGATTCTGCATTTCCTTTGGGATTCGGTGCAACCTTGGAGTGGCCATTGTGGAAATGGTTAACAACAGTACTGTGTATGTGGATGGGAAACCAGAAATTCAGGTGAGTATGGAGCTGCAGCAAGAGGGTGTGTGTGTGTGTGAGAGAGAGAGAAAGAGAGAGAGAGAGAGAGAGAGGGAAGGAGGGAGAGAGATATGGTTGTGTAAAAGCAAACAGAGCAACTCACTATTTGATGTAACAAACACATAGAGTGACAACCTCATTCTGAGTCCTGGACATGGTGACAGGGCTGGAATGCTGACTAACACTAACTGGGGCCTTGAACTCCAGGAGACGTATAACATAAGTGACAGTATGGTGTGCCAGCTGCTGTGTCGGTATGGCTGTTCCAAATTCTCAGGCTTCCCGAGGAGTGTGCATACCACAGTTTTGGTATTGTGACTTTCTGGAGAAAGAGACGACTGAACCAGGCAGAGATTTGGTGGTTTAGGAAGAAAAATGTTTGAAGAAAAAGGGTGTGTAAAGAACTGTAAGCGAGACAGACAGACAGACAGACAGACAGACAGACAGACAGATAGAGAAGCCATAGTGTGCTAGGAACAGGAGACCCTCACTCTTATTTTGTGTGTGCTATAACATTCCTTGAGCCTTGTAAACAACTTGGTGAACCTTTGGTCAAAGATAATGTTTGAAATTCTTAGTATAAATAGACAAAGGATTAAAAAGGGAGTCAGTTATATTAAAATGTAGAAAAACATACTTAAAGTTAAATTCATGGTATAGAAACATGGGCTTCCTTACTAGTACATCAGATGGCAAAATCTAGCAAAGTGCCTGAAATTGCTATGATTTTAATATTGAAATGTAAACAATGGTTTGAGATCACGGCAACAGCTATAATGTAATTTGAACATGTTTCCAGCTTTCACATTTCAGTTGTGGGACTGATATTACCACATTTTTGTTTGTTTGTTTGAGACAGGGTTTCTCTGTGTAGCCTTGGCTGTCCTGGACTCTCTTTTGTAGACCAGGCTGTCCTTGAACTCACAGAGATCCGCCTGCCTCTGCCTCCGGAGCGGTGGAATGTGACACCATCCTCGGTTTTACCCTGTTTTAAGCTATGTTTATATTTGCAGAAATTCTAAATTTCAGTCAGAGGTAGTGAAGATAAAAGTGCTGACATTTCTGTGGTTTATTAGAACACTGAACTGTAACTTTGCTGAATTACCCTGGGACTAGGAATAATTCCAGGGAAAAGGAGTATTCTAGAAACGCGAACCAAAGCAACCCACCACAGCAGTCTATTCCAAGTTTTACCCCAGAGATTATACAAATCAAGAAATTGTTTTGCAAAATATTTTCATGAAAGCAGACTTTTAATAAAAATTACTACATATTAAGCTTTTAAAAAAAGCTGACTTTTTCCCATCCAAGTTCCCAGACACACAGGAGCCCTCAACAGATCCTGGAATGAGCACTGCTAGATGTACAGAGTCCTGGTAAAGTGTGATTAGCATGGATGTCTTATCATTATCCTGGTGTTTGGGCTAGCGTGTGTGTGTGTTACACGGAAGCACTGAAGTTATTGAATACACTATTTTGTGAATACTGGAAACATAAATCTAGCTTGTTTTTTTACCTAGGCCTCATATATTACGGGATGAATAAATGAAAACTTGGCCCCAGGGACCACTGCATAACTGTCTGCATCACTGGCCTAAACATGGGCACTGAACTGATTGCAGTAGAGTCTGAGCCTTCTCAGAGGGGCACCTGATGGTTCTCTGTATGTCTGTGTTGGGATGCATGCCTAGATCAGACTTTCCATGTTGGTGTCTCGGAAGCCATGGCTTGCTTACAGGGTTTCACAAGAAGATACTGTGTGACATGAAGCCTGGACTGTTTCTGAGTGCTGTTTGACTCTGAGGCAGGGACACAGGAGGTAATGTTTTCTCAGCCGGCAACATGGTAGTCTTCTCTTTGATGCCGCATCTGTTAGCATCACCTAGAATAGTCCCCTGCCAAGGACTGCTTTGGGGAAATGTGATGTCAGTTCAGGAAAAAGAGGTCTTTAGCTGGCATGCAGGCTTCCCCTTTTCTTTCTGAGAAATTGTTCTGTCGAAGGGAAACAGCACCATGGAGATGCTTTAGTCTGCTTTTGAGGCCTCAGCTGAGTCTGGCTGAGAAAGATAGCCTGTTTGTTTTGGGGGTGGTAGTGGAGTGAGGAGGTGAGATAGAGGGAGAGACACCTCTAGTTCATTTAAAATAAAGACTACTGGTGGGGTTTCAAATGTGTATAGCATGTATTCTCCAGCCTGTTGTGAGCAAGGCTAGCTGATTAGAACTTGCCTGCAGAGAAACAAATCAAGACACTGTTAGCGTTTGTCTGTTGCCTGAGAAGACAACGGGTCAATAGAGTCTGCTTTGGAGCATATGAAAAAGCAATTTTGATAAAGCCAAAGAACGATGCTCGCATGTACTCCCCAGTTCCTAGGATTTTGCTTAGAGAATCTAATTAAGATCTAAAATATGATTTATATCATCCTGTTGGGCATCAGAATAGGAGTGTGGAAACTAGGTCTGGTGGCTTGTGCCTGTGATCCTAGCACTCAGGAGACTGAGGCAGGGGGGCAGGCCTGAGTTCAGCCCTGCTTTGGCTAAATGGTGACTTCAAAGACAAACTACGTTATGTAGCAAGACCCTGTCCCCAAAAATTAACCAAAGGAGAAGAGAGAGAAATAAAAGGGAAAACCTAAACCCCCTGGTCTATGGAGTGATTCCAGGACAGCCACGGCTACACACAGAGAATCCCTAATCTCAAAAAAAACAAAAACCAAACAAAAACAAAACAAAAATTGAGACTCAAGTTTATTCCTATTTTTTCTTCTATTAGATTTAGTGTATCCAGGTTTATGATGAGGTCTTTGATCCACTTGGACTTAAGTTTGTGCAGGGTGATAAATATGGATCTATTTGCATTCATCGATACGCAGACCTCCAATGAGACCAGTACATTTGCTGAAGATGCCATTTTTTTCCCTCTGTATAGTTTTGGCTTCTTTGTCAAAATTCAAGTGTATGTATTGGTGTGGTTTTATTTCTGGGTCTTCAATTCCATTCACCAGCCTGTCTGTTTTTATTCCAATACCAGGCGGTTTTTATTACTATTGCTTTGTAGTACAGCTGGGATGGTGATACGTCCAGAAGTTCACTGTTGTTGTTGTACAGCATTGTTTTAGCTATCTTGGGTTTTTTTTATTTTTCCATATGAAAATTGAAAATTGCTCTGTCAAGGTCTGTAAAGAAATTGTGTTGGAATTTAGGTGGGAACTGCATTGAATCTGTAGATCCTGAACTGAACACTAATAGCTCAGGCACTAAGATCAGCAATTAATAAATGGGGCTTCATGAAACTGAAAAGCTTCTGTAAGGCAAAGGACACTGTCAATAGGACAAAATGGCAGCCTACAGACTAGGTCTTCACCACCCCCACATCCGACAGAGGGCTAATATCCAATTCTATTTGATTTTTGTTTCCAGACAGCACAGTTTAACTGGGATCCAGAGACGGTGGGCCTTATCCACGGATCTTTTTTCTGGGGTTATATTGTGACACAAATTCCTGGTGGCTTCATTTCAAACAAGTTTGCTGCTAACAGGTAAGAGTAAAGGACAAGGTGAGCACTGCCTGGGTCACCGTAGAGCCTTGAACCTTTACCAAATCTATGTATTTGTGCTCAGTGTGGGGGTGCAGGAGCCAGATAAGCAGATGCGATTCAGAACCTTGATCCACAATGGCGCTGTTTTTAAGAGTATCTTTGGATTTGCTTCCCCCCCCCCAAAAATGTCATTTACTTTGTAGTTCATTAAGTGGTCATGTTGTAAAAAGAATAATTAGCCTCGAGTCAGGGGAAGTGGTTCATGAGCCCTCACTGTCTCACTGAATTACCTCTACTGAGTCCTACACTTCCTTTCTTTTCTGGGCCTCGGTTTCCTCATCTGAGAAAAGGAACATTAGATTACGTTGTGTTTTGGAGCAGTGACATTTCCTTGTGTTCATGTTGCCATCCTAGCACAGTAGACACCCTGTCATGTGAACACCGAGGGCTCGCCTTAGACCACAGGCTGTTTCTAACACTCTTAAGTGATTCAGGAGTTGTCTGAGGAGCTACCTCTCCACAACAGACCAAACGGTCTCAAAAGGAAGTGAGTGTTTAGTCATGAAAGTATTCAGTGAAAAGTGTGTGTTCATTTTGAGGGAGATGCCATAGTTCGGGTCATGTTGCAGAAAAGGAGTGGACCAAATATCTAGGTTCTTCCTGGTATATTTGTCATGAGACATTGCATGAGTCAATTTCATGAAGTAGATCAAATTTTGCAAGGTGATTTCTTTTTTCAATCTCTGAAATCACAACTCACATGGCTGTGAAATCAGTACAGTGATTTACCAATGGGAATTTTATTTGAAAAAGAGAGGAACAGAGGAGCATATAATTAAAGAGAATAAAGACAATGAAACATCTGAATAGATTGCCTATGAGAGTAAGTAATGGTTTCCGAAACTGGTCTCATTTATGTGTGTGTAGACACGTTAATGAGTTTTTAATTTAATTTAAATCATTTTATGTTATTTACGCTTCATATACATCTTCCTCCCTTTTCTACCCTAATCCTTTCCAACACCCCAGCACCAGGTAGGAGATATGGAACATTAGTGGGAAGAGGAGGCAGAGTTCTCTTTAGCTACTTCCTGCTGGTTAGGGTCCTCAGCTTCCTTGGGGAAAGTCCAGTCTTTGTTTCAGGAGATCTCCAACTTTTCCTCATCGAACTGCAACAACTTCCATCAGGAGGGGAGGGGGTCGCACCAGCAGCCTACTTCTTTCTCAGAGCTCCACTAACTTGCTCCGGGCTCTGGGCTTTATTGCCTCTCAGAGTCCTCAGATTTAGACTGTTTGCAGCTGGCAAAGGGCCTCTCTCAGAGCCTGCACCAGGCAAAGAGTTTGCTGCTGTGGACAATTTGAATCGGTCCCATATCCACACCACAAAAACATGTCTACATCCACAATACATGTGTATATAAATACAGACTGGGCTATAATATGAAATGCATATATCTATATATACACACACATATTTATGTATCTACATACACATGATACGTGTGTGTGTGTGTGTGTGTGTATGTGTGTTAGTACAGGCGCATGTGTGTAGGGCCTGAGGTTGATGTCAGGTGCCTTTTCTTTCTTTTGTTTTAAAGATTTATTTATTTGTTTGTTTGCTTATTTATTTATTTATTTATTTATTTATTTATTTATTATTTAGACATTATTCTGCCTGCATGTACACCTGCATGCCAGAAGAGGGCACAGGATCTCATTATAGATGGTTCTGAGCCACCATGTGGTTGCTGGGAATTGAACTCAGGACCTTTTAGTAGAACAGCCAGTGCTCTTAACCTCTGAGCCAACTCTCCAGCCTGTCAGGTGCCTTTTCAATCACACACACCACCTTATTTTCTTGAGACAGGGTCTCTCACTGAACCCAGAGTTAACTGATTCAACTAGACTGTGTGGCCAGCAAATCCCAGAGATTCTCCCGTCCTCATGTCTCCAGTGCCAGACTCACAGGCTCACCCTATGCTTGGCTTTTTATATGGGCTCTGGGGGGTTGAATTTAGCTTAATATGCAATGTATTTTTAAGGGGCAAAGGCAAAATGTTTGAAAGCCAGCCCCAGGATCTTAATATGTGTAAACATGGCTGTCTTTACTTATGTCCTCACCTAGCTGTTTGGTTTTTTGTTTGTTTGTTTCACTTCCCATTGTTGCTTGCCTATTGTATTCTTTTAAGAAGTGGTCAGGTAGTGACTGCCACTGACTCCTCATTGGTTACTGCTTGCACTCCTGCCTCTAAAAGAAAACCACACATATACAGATTTCCTAGTGTGTAAGGAAGGAGCAAGCGACATTAGAGTATGTGAGGAGGGGCATCTGGGATGCAGGCAGGTGGTAGGGTGCTTACCTAGCTCTCGCAAAGCCCTCGGGTCAGGGCCAGAGCTGCATAAAGCCAGGTACAGTAGCATGTGCCCGTAATCCCAGCATTCAGGAAGGAGAGGTGGGGGGATCTGAAATTCAGGGTCCTCCCTAGCTAAATGTGAGTTCAAGGGCAGCCTGGGGTGTGTGTGTGTGTGTAACACATACATGCATATATGTATGTGTATATATTTATGAATATCACACACACACACACACACACACACGCACACACACAACTCTGCCTAAAAGAAAATTATGAAAGGAGAGAAGAGAATGGTGCCTGCTTTTTGTCTTCTTCCTTCTTTCTTAGAGATTCTCCGGATGTCAAGGAGAGAGTAACTGGCTACGTCAGGAACTGGGGAGTAAGACAGGTTCACAGCTTGGTCCCAGGTCTCAAGCAACATCCTGAATCGTCAGTGTTCTCTTTTGGGCTATTGAGAATATAATGGGAAGCAGGAGGCACAACCCCAGACATGCAGAAGTCACAGATAGGAAGGGTCACTTGGCTGAAATCTGGTGGGATGTAGGTGTACCAGAAGTTCTCTTTAGTACAGCCATTCTGTGGCCTTCTGTGGCATCATGCGATTGGACATCCCTGGGCTTCCATGAATGTGACCACAAATGGTCTGAGCATCCCAGGGGTCTAAGCTGGGAGCATACCAGATTCTGCCATACTGTCTATTTCTCTGAATTAATTTCTCTTAATTTCTCCTATGCTCTCTCATGAACTTTTAGGATGTTTTCTGATGTTTAACTGAAGTGCTTTTAGCCATCATTATCATCCTGGACAATAATACAGTGCTTTGGTCCCCTAGGGTCTTTGGAGCCGCCATCTTCTTGACATCAACTCTGAACATGTTTATCCCTTCTGCGGCCAGGGTACACTACGGCTGTGTCATGTGTGTGAGGATTTTGCAGGGTCTGGTGGAGGTAGGAGAGACACCTTCTTTACAGTTTTCAGCACTGCCGGAGAAAGCACTGTGCTTTGCAACAGTCCTGAAGTCAAGCCCCTTTTGTCAGTTTTCAGCGTTCTCTAGAGACCCCCTTTTTACATCTTTGAAACTATGGGTTGGGTGTGGTAGTGACATTTTGATGTAAAACATAGGTTACCTGCAGTAATCGAGACCGTGCTTGGGCAGTGATAGAGGCTTGTGGTTTCAGTTACTGAAGAGGCTGAGACAGGAGAATCTCGTTTCAAGCTTTCCTGGGAAACCTAGTGAGGCCCTGTTGCAGTGCAAAACTTAAGAGGGGCTAAGGGTATAGTGGTGATCAAATGTATGTCTAGAACATGCCAAGGCCTGGGCTCAGTTTCCAGACACCCTCCATGAGAAGGAAAGAAAGACAAGTCTAGACTGTTGCTGGCGCTCCAATCCAGCTTTAGTCCTGTTAGGAGGATGTACCCTGCACTTTGACAACTAGTGATGTGGCAGAAAGAATGTGACATTCGCAGCTTTGAAGACCACGGCTGAGACCTGGTCTTCAGGAATCTAAGCCTCGGGGTTTGTGCAGGGAAATGAGATAAACTGGCTGCGGGTGGAAGTCACTTCCTACATCTATATTCTTTAATTATGTGATATATAGATATAGACATCTCTCTGATTCTCTACCACATTTCTATTTGTACTATATCTTTGAATGTCAGGATTGGTGCTATGAGTCAAGATTAGTTAAATTATATGATTTAATGTTGTTAAAAATCTGTTTGGGTATCAGTAATGCAGTATCAGACACAACAGATATTCATTTCTCGTGGTCCGGTCCGGAGGCTGGGAAGTCCAGCGCCTTCAGTGACTGATGACCTGCTTTCTGGTTCATAGACTGACAGTCATCTCTGTGTTCTCACCTCACGGGTGGGCAACAGTGCTGCTAGGGTCTCTTCTTGTAAGAGCAATAATTCCATTCATGAGTTCTTCATCTTGTGCCCTTGTTACCGCCAATGCCTATATTCAAACACCATCACACTGAGGACTAGATTCAACATAAACATTTGAGAGGCACATCGGCTTTCTATTTGACAGTGCACACAAACTATATTTTTATATTGTAGTTTGTGCAAAGCAGCAGAATTTGCATTTTAAACACGAAAAGAAATTGGGAAAAAATGTGATCATCACTGTTTAATTCTGTCAGGGTGTGACCTATCCAGCCTGCCACGGGATGTGGAGCAAGTGGGCGCCTCCCCTGGAGAGAAGCCGGCTAGCAACAACGTCCTTTTGTGGTAAGCATGTTAGAATCATTAATTACTTTAGGAATTGAAGATTTTGGCTTCAAGTAACTGAGACGTCTACCAAGAGTCTTCAGAAGAACCTATTTTTTTTTTCTCACCTGACAGAATCCCTAAGGTGTAGTTGGTGGTGCTGGGTCTGTCTCTATCTCACTGAGCGGTCTTGGGCCGTGGGTGTGTTCAGTCCCTGGGACCCACATGGTAGAAGGAGAGAACCAACGTTCATAAGTGATCCTGTGACCTCCATCCCTGTGCCATGGCTTCCGTATGCCCCCCATAGGCACATAAAATAAATAGATAAGAATATAATAAAATATTTTTAAAGTAGAAAGATGAGATTGGCAAGCTCTGCCTCTCCCTTATTTTCACAGTGAAGCAAAAGTACAATGCCTTGTGTGAGGTTGCAAAGATCCTCATTCACAGAGCTGAGCTGAGGCCAATTGGCTGGTGATATAGAGCTTTCCTTGCTCCACATAACCACTGAGTACACACTGTCACCAAGAGACTTGATTGTGGGCCTTATATTCCACATAAAAAATGAAGTGGAGTCCATCCATCTTACCTGAAAGTAGTGATTCTCAGGTGATGACATGACTTCAATTTGGGGGTCTCTGAACTTTATCTTGTTGGGTTGCCTCGTCCCAAGCCATCTCTTCTGTGCATGGCTGGGAGAAATCAGTGTCCTCAAGGGCTTATCTCAGGCCTTACCAGTGAGAGAAATGGGAGCTTCCAGCACAGTTATAAAATGCATTTAAAACATTTATTGTAGGGGAAGGGTCCTGGAAGGCAAAATTATCTTAGTTTGCAGAAATTACAATATGGCCAGGTAGTTAGGATTAGAACTCAGGCAAGTCTGACTTTTTTCTGAAGGCAGACCATTATAGTTGCATTATACCACAAGTATGAAAATAAGCTCAGCCTTTAAAGGAATCATTTACTATGAAAAAAGGCTACAGTTATATTACAAAGTTTGGAATACTTTTTAGTCAAATGTTCTTGGGGAGTGTTATTGTAAAAAAACATTTATTTAGCTTTGCTCATAATTAATTTTTGACTCTTAAAAAAAGTGTTAAACATGTATTATTGTATAAGTGTTTTTCCTGCACAAGATTGTGGACCATGTGTGTTCCCAGTAATGGCAGGAGTCAGAGGAAGGCATTGGATCCCCTGGCACTGGAATTACAGTTGCCAGCAGCCGTGTGTGCTGTGGGACCCAAACCCGGGTCCTCTGCAGGAGAAGAGAGTGCTTTTACCTGCAGAGCCATCTGTCTCTTTAGCCCCTGACTTTTGACTCTTTTTATTTTCTGTATGTGTGTGTGCAGGTGGATGATGGTGTGCGTGTGTGTGTGCGTGTGCACATGTCATAATGCATGTGTGGAGGCCAGGTAAAACCTTGGGTGTCAGTCCTCACCTTCCACCTTGTTTGAGAGAGGGTCTCTTCTTGTTTTGTTACTGCATATGACAGGCTAGCTGACCCGCAAGCTTTGAGACCTCTCCAGTCTCTGCCTCCCAAATTTGTGTAGGAACCCTGGAACTACAGGTGCTCAGCACTAAGCCTAGTTTGAGCCTTGGGCTGCAAGTGCTTTTCCCTCTGAGACATCTCCCCAGCCCTGCTGCCTTTCTTTGAGGCAGGGTTTCACAAAGCCCAGTCTGAAATCGAATTTGTGATCCTTTCACATCTACCTGCAGAGAGCTGGGATTACATGGTGAACCTCCATGCTCTGTTCCTCTGTCTTTATTCTAAAAAGATAAAAAACATCCCCACTCTCCCTTTGGCTTGGGGCTCATTTTCAATAACCAAGTGAAGATTGGGTCACTGTGTGCCAGTTACTGTTACAGTCTAGGCAACCAGTGGACTGCAGTAGACAGCCACTGGACTCAGATTCCTCCCAAAGGAACCGAAGCCCCTTTCTTTGTATGAAATGTCTGAATTCTCACTTCACTATTTCTGTGAGCCAATATTTTATCAGCATGACTCCACATAACAGGTTTTTTAAAAGACATACTTAAAGAATTCTTGAAGCTGTTAATGTTTTCTCTTTAAAAAAATTAGTCATGTGCAGTTCAGCTGACTTCTTCAGTTATGAAGATGGTTTGTACATAAATAGTTGTTCAGATTGGTATGTCTGTGGGAACTTGATCTTTAGAGGGTGTTTTTGAGAAAGGGTTAGCTATGTAATCCAGGCTAGCCTCCAACTTAAAATCCTTCTGCCTCTGTTTTTCTAGTGCTGTGATTACAAGGTGTACTCTACCACACCCAGCAATCTGATTTGTTTTTAAAATTACAACTTATTTGTGTATGTGTGTGGTATGTGTGTGTGTGCGTGCGTGTACATATGCCAGGGCATATTTAGACATTCTTTCCTTCTACCATGTGGGTCTAGGGGATTGAACTCAGGTCATCAGCCTTGGTGGTAGTTGCCTTAACCTGATGAGCCATACAGTTGGTTCAACCTACCCATTGCTTTCAGACTATCATGTTGTTCCTAAGATAGGCCGATTACCGAGGGGAGAAGTCAATCTTCGTCTTTATTAATATGAATGTTTTTATTTTTTCTTTTAAAATTGTTTATTTATTTTACGTGTATGGATTTCACCTGAACACACCACGTGTAGGCCTGGTGCCCATGGAGGCTAGAAGGTGGCCCTGGCTCACCTGAGACTGGAGTTAGGGATGGTTGTGAGCTGCCATGTAGGCACTAGGGATTGGGACTCTCCAGAAAAGCAGACACTACTCTTGGCCTCTAATCCATCTCTGTAGCCCCACTCATTCTCTAATTATTGCCCATGTATCTCCTTTAAATCATCATTAGCACATTAACTATGCCTGGTTTGCAAGAGTGCACCGTTGACCTGTCCTCAGCCTCTTGATTGCCACAGGCTATCTCCACCCTGCCAAAGCTGCCCAACCCCAGAAGAGGAAAGTCTGCCCGCTGACTGTGGGTGGCATGACCATTGGCCTTACTTTCTACGATAGCTGATTGGCAGGACCTTTCGTTTTGATTTGACAGCAGAATGAGAGTGACTAGTAGCCACTCCCCACTCGGAGTGGTTTTATAGCCCTGAAAGGGCTGATTTAAAGATGATTTAAAGACTCAAGGATAACCTGGTCAAGGTCGAAAGCCTTAATACATTTCCCAGCTAAGGTGTGGCTTTGTTTCAAAGAGCAGTCAAGGGAAAAAAGGTCACTAAAAGGAAACTTGAAATGGAAGTTAATTCCCTTAGTCTCAAAAGATACCAGAATTGGAAGAGACTCTAGAAAACATGGGTCAAAGCCCATTGTTTTAGAGTTGAGGAAACTGGGATGAAATTAACATGGCTAGTAAGACCAGAACTCAGGAATCTCTCCCACTCCTGCTCACCTTCATCATTTCTCCCTGGCACACCACTCTCTGAGGGCTTTGTCTGCCCTCAGTGGAGAGCACAGGGGTGCTAACATCTACCCTGCCCTCTAGGGCAGCCTGAGGGCTGGATATCATACTTGGAATATGCTAAAGGGGCTGTGAGTGTGGGATAGGAGACAATGTTGAAGCTGTGACTGAAGAGGAGAAAGAGTTTGATAGACAGGGGAAGCAGTTTGGGTCGGTTATAGTTTCTCCACAATGACAGAATGCTTCTTAGAGTGGGGAATTGTTGGCATTTGATGGTAGAGGAGACAGGGCTGAAAAATCAGAGAAAGATCCTGTCTGGGCTCTGACACTCTTGTCACCACAGGCAACTCATGTTTCTCTAGCCTTACTTTTTTTTTGTTTCCCATAAAATGGAGGAGAATATTTGTATATTCCTTATCAGGTTGAAAGAAGCTGAATAAAAATTCTGGGTTCAGCTGGGTGCAGTGACACATACCTGTAATCCCAGCGATCAGGGAGGCAGAGGTAGGCAGAGCTCTATGAGTCTGAGGCCAGTCAGGTCTACACAGCCTGTGTGTCCAGGACAGCCAGGACTCCATAGGGAAACCCTGTCTCAGAAAAAAAAAAAAAAAATCCTGGGTTGGAATGCTTGGCCCAGTTTAGCATACAGCATGCACTGTAGCCAGTCATTCTTTCTGATTCTCTGTCTCAAGGACACATTTGTATCATGCAAACTTCACTTACTGCTCCCCAGGGCAGAAGACCACCTTACACACACACACACACACACACACACACACACACACACACACACACACTTTGAGAAAAAGAGACAGAGACAGACAGAGATAGAGAGAAAGACAAGAAGACAAGGAAGGAGAGATTTCATTGCTAATGTATAATCTGGAGTGCTTGCTTTATTGCTGTGAGGAATTCTGAGGTTTAAAATCAGTGAGCCTCAGTGGTGGGGTTTCAGCTCACTTAAGAGTGTGCTTCTAGTTTGCAGTACCCCCTAAGGACAGATGATGGAGCACCTGCAGGTGGAGGCAGGAGGAGCAAGAGTTCAAAATCATACTAAATGCATTCAATGCCATCCTAGGCCATATAGCAGCCTGTCTCAAAGTAAAACACATGCTTTGCTGTTCTGTACATAATAAAAGTATTAGGAGTTGGCATTTATGTGACCACTTTCAGTTTACAGAGCATCTTGACGTACACAAGATAGTTCATCCTATACCAACCCCAAGAGGTGGAGATTTCATTCCTATCTTATCTCTGAATGAGTCTCTCTACTTCCTTAGATATCAGTCATATTCCAGGTTCCAGGCTGCACCTGTCTTAGAGATAAGGCCCAGCTTAAGCAGGTGTGATATTTTTCTATTTCCTTGGAGCATCATCCACTTCCTAAAGATCTTGCTCAGTGTTGGATATGGGGAATGAACTTTGCTTTCATGCTGATCAGTTTTCTTAAGGAACATCTTCTCATTCATGGCCCAGGAGGAGAGAGGAACTTTTTGATTCACTCAGCATTTACCAGGAATTTACATGGCTTTAGTTTCCTTAGCTGATGTCCAGGAGCTACAAAAGATAGGGAAACCAGGTGGCCACCTTTAGTCTCCCCAGACAAGACAGACACCCTCATGTAAGCCCACAAAGTATATTGTTCACAGAGCAAGAAACATCAAAGGACAAAAATACCACTGTCTAAATTTAAAGATCCCAACTGTTTTCTTTTCTTTTCTTTTCTTTTCTTTTCTTTTCTTTTCTTTTCTTGTTAACAGTTCAGTTCATAAGACAGAATGGTTGTTGCAAAAGGGCCAAGCAGGAGAGGTTGGTTCATGGGCAGAAACTAAGAACAAAAAGCAGACTGACCATTTCAGTGACTTTCTGTGTATGGCAGCAGGGTAAAAACCCAGGACAGAAGAAAAATCACCAGGTAGCATCAGGTGGCCCTTTTAATGTAAGAATCAATGTAGGGATATTCAGAAGGCTGTTGTCATAACCCAAGGAAACTAGCCTGTTGTTTTTTCTGGTTTCTTAAAGGAAATCTGATTAATAGCTTAGCTTTGCCTTGGTGATGTAGAACCCTGGAACTAGTGAGTCCATTTTGATTTTTAGTCTGGTCAGTTAGAGCACAGAGCAGGAATCCACATCACCTAAAATACTGGTGTCCCGTAATTTTTAATAGAAATTATTTTTAAAATGCACCCATTAGGAAGATGGAGATAGTTCTCCTGTCAGCATGGAATCTTCCTGAGTGGGGTGCGTGTGTGTGTGTTACCTGGACTAACAAGAATCATATGATAAGACTCTTTTCTGCCTCCAGGTTCCTATGCTGGGGCAGTCGTTGCTATGCCCCTTGCTGGAGTATTGGTACAGTACATTGGCTGGGCCTCCGTCTTTTACATTTACGGTGAGTGATTTGGTTTATGAGTCCATGTGTTGACACACAGAGATATATTTTACTATATAAGGGTATGCTTAAGGGAATGTGAAAATAGAAATACAAACATCAGTTCATTATACAAATGGGAAGCCTGCTTTTGATTAATTTAATGCTTATATTTATCGTGGCATTTTAAACAAGCAGAATATTGTCTTCCTTTTAGATATCAATTAACAAGATGAAAACCAACAAGATACTTCTCAATGAACACACACACACACACACACACACACACACACACACACACACAGCAACAACCTAGACAGATAGCCATCAAGGAGAACTCATAAAATTATGATAAGGATGTTGAAGTGTAGCTCTCCACATTGATGGCTTCTGGTAGGGTAGGGGTGGGAGGGACTTAATTTTCTCTAAGGGGCTGGCCCCTGGGAGTCTAACCATGCTCCAGTGACTGGATGGGCAACACAAATAGGAGTTCAGGTGTTTTTTGTTTGTTAGTTTCTTTCTGTTTTGTCTTTTTTTTTTTTTTTTTTTTTTTTTTGTTTGTTTCTTCTTCTTTGAGGAGAGAGATCACAAGGAGGGGGGCACTGCCCCGGGGGGACTTGGATGTGAGTGTGCTAGGGTACATTATGTAAAATTACCAAATACTCAATAAAAATACTATGTTGGAAAAAAATTAACAGCTATAGAGATGGGAGCAATGAGGCCATGCCACTGAGCCTCTTGTTTTTTGTCTGCAGGCATGTTTGGGATTATTTGGTACATGTTTTGGCTGCTGCAGGCTTATGAGAGTCCAGCTGCTCACCCAACAATATCCGATGCAGAAAAGACCTACATAGAGACGAGCATAGGAGAAGGGGCCAACTTGGCCAGTCCAAGTGTAAGTACAGGTGGAAGGTAAATCCTGCTCTTTTTCCCATGTGTGTTTCTCTACGCGATTGTATCACCTTCTGTGGGGTCCCTGCAAACACTACAGCTGGCAGAGGAACCATCCACACAAGGCAAGAAGGAAATCCGATTCAGCACAACTCAGTGGCTGGTGCTGGTTCAAACCTGTAGAGTCAGACAGCGGGCATTTTACTTTAGACATATTTAAGTACATCACAGTCTTGGAAAATAGTTTTCTGGTAACAATGATTTCAATCCCATGTGCACAATAAAGCTTAAGGCATGGCTGTATTGAAACTTTCTTGTAAAGTACATGTGACCTCTACCACGAAGATGGGTTCTGTAGCTTAGGGGACTAGAATCCGGTGTGGTCTCAGCCAAATGGTATAGAGGTCACCAGACTATAAAGACCATGTGACAGCTCTGGTGAGGCTGGTTGAGAAACAATGCCAAAAGATCTAGGCAGGGAGAGCCCAAGATAAGCTTGGTCTGGGAGCTGCGGGTGTGGCTTGGCCCTACAGATGACAAATGTCACCAGGTTATTAGCGACATCTCCTTCCAGCCTTCTGGGTAGAAGACAGGTATACATATGCCCTGTTCCATTGAAGAGACAAGCCTACCTGCGTAAAAGTCCCGGTTTCCCTAGTGCTTATCTGTGCGCACCAAGACCTCATGTTCCCCAGACCTCAGTGCCCTCGCTTGAAATCTTGCCTGTCTATTTTACTCCCTAGAAATTCAACACACCGTGGAGAAGGTTTTTCACATCCTTGCCTGTCTATGCCATCATCGTGGCAAACTTCTGTAGGAGCTGGACCTTCTATTTGCTCTTAATAAGCCAGCCTGCTTACTTTGAGGAGGTCTTTGGATTTGCAATAAGTAAGGTAAACACACAGATGCTTCCAACGCTCTTAGTCCTTTCTTGATACGATGAAATAGTTAAAATGGCTGCATCATTTGTAGCAATTCTCTGAAACTTAGCATCCCAGAGGTCAGGCAATAGTCTGACTACTTAATTTCTTCTTAGTAAGGATCAAATATGTGCTAATCTGCTTTTAAAGAATGTGGCTCTATCTAATCTCAGAGTGCCTCTGAAGCTAATTCAGGCACTGACTATTAGTTCAAAGGTAAAAAGATTTGACAGAGTGAGTTTTTCTCCTTATAAACCACTCATTGTGGGCTAGCGAGATGACTCGGCGGGTAAAGGTGTTTCGGGTCAAGTCTGATTACCCATAGTTTGGTCCCCAGGACTCAGATGATAGAATTATCAGTTCTTGTAAACTGTCCTCTGACCTCAACACATGTGCTATGACAAGACCTCTTCCCCCCAAACAAACAAATAAATGCAATTAACTGCTCATTGGGTGACAGAGAGAACACTGAGGTTAAGTTTCAGACCAGCCTCTTTTTTTCCCATAGTGGTGAATGTAGCAGTAGTTGCTAGTATTTAGGCAGGCAGTAATGGTTGTTTAGAAAGAACCTCTTTCAATGCCCAAAACCATTGTCAGTACTTGCCTGTGTTTCAGGGAGTCTTTGCTAGTGAAACAAATTAACCATCATGAAACAAACAAAAATTCCTTTCAAGAGAAAGCACTGCAGGGAAGCAGGTGTCCATGTCTGGCTAGCTACAGTCTTGATGTCTATGTCTGACTAGCTACAGTCTTGATAGTTCAAGCAGAGACTGGAAGAACCAGCATAGTTGTGTGATGGTTTTTCCTCTACTAGACCTTATTCTGGGACCTTTGTGATCAGTAAGAGTTGTCTCTGGCCCCAGAGACCTATCAGTCTGATGCGGAAGACAGTTGGCCCATGCACAGAATCACCCACATTCATTGCTTACTGGTTATGAAGTTCAGACCCCCTGGGGTTCCACATTAGATAATTAAACTTGGTTATGGCTGTGGGACTGAGTAATGGGGGTGAGCAGGGGCTTGTAAAGACCTCTCAGAAGAATCTAAGTTGGCTCTTTGTTTCTCTTCCTTCCAGGTGGGTCTCCTGTCAGCTGTTCCACACATGGTGATGACAATTGTGGTACCGATTGGAGGACAACTGGCTGATTATTTAAGAAGCAGGAAGATTCTGACCACAACTGCTGTCAGAAAGATCATGAATTGCGGAGGTATTGTGACAAGAGGCTCGAGTGGGTTCTGTAGAATCAGCATCTCTGTTCCAAACAGAATTGCAGAGCCTACATTAGAGCCAGCCCAGACTTGGTCTCCCATCCAAGTACTAACTCAGCTCAGCCCTGCTTAGCTTCCAAGACTGAACCCTATTAGGCTTGGTCAGACTGAATTTAGACATTGTAATGGATCCTGAGGACCTCTGAGTCAATCTCTTTGTAAATATTGTGTACATTTGTATATATAGTTAAATACTGTGCACCATTTCATTGCCAAGCGGTCATGTATCGAGTACTTGTGCAATCTGGGGCAGGATAACCTAGCTGATGGCTGGTCAGGACATGCTTAAAACCAAAGAAACACTTCTGCCATTAGTTCTGAAGCCAAAATAATATAACTTCTGGTTGTGTGCCTGCTTGCTACTGATCCTTTCAATATGCCCGTCAACTTCAGAGCTGCTTACATAGTTAACTTCCTTTTCTTCTTCCTTTTATGTGTACATACATGTTCGGGTAAAACACAAAGGGCATGTGCTCATGAGTGGGATACCCAAACACTGCCCCCTTCACCTATACTGCCCTGCATGCGTGCTGCTCTCTTTCCTGGTTTATTTACTTTCTGTTTTGTTTTGATTTTGTGAAGACAAAGTGGAAGTTCTTTTATTGCACATAAGAAGTCAGGGAAACTAGTAATGAATCCTTTTCATTTTTCTGACTTTTTAAACTTTTTGTTGCTTCTTTGTGAATTTCACATCATGCATGCCAATCTCACTCATCTTTCTGTCCCCTCAAACCTGCCCTCCACCCTTGCAATCTTCCCTCAAAAAGATAAAGAGAAAAAAAAAATCTCATTGTGGAAGCTGTAGTGTGTCACAGTGTGTCCCATGGTATGCCCTTTTGTTTGCTTCTTTGCTTGCAAATGTTCACTGCAGCGAGTTGTTGGTTTGGTTGGAGGCTTCTGGCTTCTGCTACTCCATCAGTACTGGAACCTCACTGGGACTCCTCTTGGATATCCTGTTGTTTCCCTGTGTCATGGAGATCCTGTGGTTTTGGATCTGTAGAACTGGTCCCTAAATGCACTCTAGCAGTTCATCGATGGGGTAGATGTTGGGGTGGGCCAATTCAAAGCCCTGGATCTGGGCCTCAGAGGTGTCTGAGCTGGACAGCCCACCAGCTCTCCAGCACCCACACCACCAGGGTAAGCTCTTCTGTCCTGCCCCAGTTGGCCAATCCAGTGCTGCAACCAGCAAGGGGCAAAGCCAACTGTCCCGCTCTCATGTCCATCTGTGCCAGTACCATCAGGGCTAGCTCTACTATGGTGCCCAGGTGAGGTGCAGGACCCATTCTCCTGAGTGTTGCAGTTGGTGACGGGCAGGGACAGCTTTCCTGCTCCCATGACCCCAGGGCCAAGTGTCCCACCTGCCACTGGTGCTGAGGGGCAAGGGAGGAGGTTGGTATCTCTCCCTCATCCGTGCCACTGCATGGTGAGAGTAGGGCCATCTCTCCCATGTTGATACCACAACTCCAGAAACCAGGGCCGGCTCTACTCTGGCGTCTCTGGGTGATGTGTGGAGCCCAGTCGTCCAAACACTAGGCTGGGGTTTGGGTCAGCTCTCCTCGTCTCACACCCCCCAGGGCTGGCTCTCCCACGATGCCTAGGTGATGGGTGGGGTCACCCCATCCCTCAGTCATCACATACCCCTGGGCAGCAGCCCAGACCAGGGACGTCTGCCTGGCCTTTGGTGGCAACAGACCCCTGATGCTGCAGGCCCGGGGACCCAGATGTGGGCCCCGCTGGCAGCACAGGCCAGGACCCCACTGTGGTCACTGACTACTCACATCAGGCTGTTCCTCACTACCCTCAAGTCTCCAGTCTTCTGTGTACCCCTTTCTGTGTACCCATTCATCTTTCTGTTTCTCTTTCTCTTCCATTTCTCTACCACTTACTAGCTCCTCTTAGTGGCTCTTGGCATCTCTGGGTATCTGGGGTCATCTCTGGCATGGTTTCAGGAGTGCTATGCCATGCCTGTGCGTTATGGTACCAGTCAGGGGTCATCTTCACCATGGTCGCTGGCACTAAACTGCTGGTCATCTCAAGTTACCTCCCTGTCTGGACTCCCTGCTGCTGGACTGGTGGTCATCGGAGCTGGTGGTCACCTCGCCTGGGCTGCCCCTGTGGCCTCATGCAAAGTGGGTGGTGGGTGGCTGGGGTTGCTTATCCCACTCACTCCCACTGGGGCCATTGGTTCCAGGTCCAAGGTAGGATTCTTCTAGTCTCTGGCCCAATCCCACCAGGACATGTGGTCCGGGCAGGGTTGGTCTCCCCATCTGACTTTTGAGTGTGCGCATTCTTGAATGCTTTCAGTGCTATGCATTTATCTAGGTCTTCACATGTACTATCTTAATCTTCATTATCACCTTGTGGAGTGGGGACTCTGCTACGAAGTTTACAGGCAGGAAAACAAACACACAAACAACAACACTGAGATAAACTAAAATGACTTCTTGAAACGGCAGCTCCCGTGCAAGGTAACAGGGTTGTCTGAGCCCATTGCACAATTTGTTGCCCTTTCCAAGGGAAAGACTGAGGTCAAGGGTGACTGGGTGGGCAGTAGAGAAAACACCACCAATGGTTCCGTGGTCATGAGTGTGATCTTAAACAGAGGAAGGTATGAGCATGCTCCGACTCCAGCTTAGAGGGATCAGACCCTTTCACAAATGAAACTATCCGGGGAGATACAAGAGCTGGGGCACTCTGACCTCACAGCCTTGTGGAGGAGAGCATGACTGATGAGACAAGATGAGGAACTTGGTACCCCAGGAATCCAGTTGCTGGTCTGCAGAGATCCGTTGGTCTGACCTTTGTTTGAACTGTTATATAGGAGACTGAAGGATGGCAGAGGCAGACTTACTCTCTGGTGGGCAGGTGATGAAGATTTAGGGCATTGTGTTAGGGTCCTTTATTTGCATGTCAAATAGGACTTTGCAAGTGTCAATATCTTACAGAGTTTGTGGGGTTTTTTGTTTTGTTTTGTTTGTTTTTTGAGGCAGGGTTTCTCTGTGTAGCACCGGTTGTGTAGGCCAGGCTGGCCTGGAACTCACAGAGATTCGCCTGCCTCTGTCTCCCCGAGTGCTAGGATTACACATGGCAGTTTGCAGAGTTTTTGTTGAGATAGGATCCCATGCATCCCAGGCTGGTCTTGAACTCAGTGCATTGCAGAGGCTTACCTTGAACCACCGATCCTCCTGCCTCTACCTTCCGAGAGCTGAGATTACAGGCATGCATTACCACACCCACTTTTGTACTGCTGTCCTTAAATATGTGATCATTCTAATTTGGCCCCAGTTTCCAGGACTGAGCCACCATACCTGGCTGAAAACTTTTATTTCAGATTATAATTATAGCTACTTGATTTTTAGAAGAAAATATTAAAGTGTGTTGTCATGTTATGTCAGGCCACAACATTAGTAGTCAAAAATGGTCACTAAGTGTATATGCTGCATTCAGACTGGCAGGAGTAACTACCCAAGGATTAACTACTTATATCTCTCATCCCAGAGCCATAATTGAACCTACTGGGACCATTTGTTGTTCAAGATGCACTAGGCAGAAAGGTAGAAAGTTCATAGAACATCTTGGCAGTTGCATGATCATGCAGTCATGACCATTGGGGAATATTGTAGATATTGAGCTGAGATGTATGTTCTAAGAACTCAGGTTCATGAAATATGGGTTCATTTCATGTGTTAAGTCAACAGCTTTGACAGACGGACAGAAGCATGACAGCTCCTCTTCTGTTTCTCTTTGCAGGCTTTGGCATGGAGGCAACCTTGCTCCTGGTGGTTGGCTTCTCCCATACCAAAGGAGTGGCAATCTCCTTCTTGGTGCTTGCTGTAGGATTTAGTGGCTTTGCTATTTCAGGTAAAGTGTCCTCTGGGTTTCTGAATCATATATGTAGATTCACCAAGTCTTAGGAGGAAGGAAGGACAAGGGAATTGTCCTTTATTTAATAGTCTAGGGATTCCCAAAGGACAGGACCACTGCACAGTCTCATCAAGTAGGGTGATATAAGAACTAGGGTCTTAATAGGCTTAAAGCCCATTCAAGCTGGGATTGTCCCAGCTAATTCTATCATGGGAAAGCACTTACATGCAGCTGACTTCCCTGAGGCATAAACAGAGCCCAGGCATGTGTCTGAGGCTAGCCCCAGGTTACCCTACCTGACAGGCTCCCTTCCTGCTGGAGCACAGCTAACTTTAGCTCAAGTGGCCATGCCATTTGACACATGGTCATAAGCACTGGATACATTTAGAACGTTATCTACAGTTTTCAGTAAGTTTTTGTGTCATTCATTTGCTTCCACTTTCCAAACAAGAAGATGCAGGTCTGGAGTGGGGTGGAAGACCTTCAGAGCGAGTGAGAATAATAAAGATGATCACACGACCTTATGGTGATCAAGAGCGGATTCCATGCTGAGGATGCTCAAACCCTCTGCGTGCCCCACTCACAAATTACCCTGGGGGTTTCAGTGCTATTAAAGTCTCCATTTGACAGGAGCGGAAACAAACTTACTGTATGGAGAGGGCAATGCACAGAGCACCATGCTGACAGACTTCAGAAACTCTCCAAGTGAGAATGTAAATGGGTTATCTGTTTACATCATTGCATCTGTCCCACAAAATTGTGAAGCAAGTGCTGGTAGCAGCATTTTACTGAGTTTTTCACCATTTTACTGACTAGTAATAGTAATAATAATACAAATGATGATAATAATAATTCCCATTATCACATAGTGGCATAGGAAAGACAGAAACACAGATCTGCCTGCCTCCAAGTCCTTCTTTGTCCCTAGGCCACCTGAAGTATCAAACAGAACACAAATACGCCAGAACAGAAAAATACATCCATTTCCCAAACTACCCTAAGATGGAGGCTTGAAGTATCTATCAAAGCAAACAGAGCTCATCAGTAGGTGTAGCAAGTCTGTTTTCAAAGAGCTCGCAGCCAAGAACTTGGGTTTTGGAATACACAGAACTGGGTCTGAGACCCTCCTTGACCGCTTTTTGTGTTTGAACAACTTGCTAAATTATTTAAATTCTGATCTGGAGATTGGAGGCACATGGGTTGTCAGGAGGAAGCCCTGAGGTGGCTCGTGAGTGCGCTCACATTACTTGCTGAGTCAGCCCTGGGGATCATCCATCAGCCCTGGGTTCTCATGGGCACGGGGTGTACTGCACTGAACAATTAAACAGTTTTTGTCCTCCTAGAATTTATGTGCTAGGGAAAGTAAGTTAGTCAAAGGTTTTACCAAGCATTCGATGATGAGCATAGTTTTAAGCACTTACTGTTATCATGGTTCGGTTACTCTACACTATGGGCCCAGCGCTTCCCAAATATCTATCTGCAGAAGACAGTTTCTGATTTATTAGGTGCAGAGTGGGGCACAAGATTCTGCTTTTCCAACAAGCACTGCCGAGTGACCCTGACCAATATCCACATTTTAAAAATTTTTCACTTTTGGGGAGGAACACTTCGTATATCCTAGGTAAGTCTTCTATCCCTGGCCACACCCACCTCCTGGCCCTTTTGGACCACAGTATTTCTATGTAGCACATCTTGATGTCGACTTCCTGTACAGCCCCAGCTAATCTTGAGCTCTGGATTCTTCCTCCTCTGCCTCCCTGGACTGCAAGCGTGTGCCATCCTACTTGGTGGCAGTCGACATGCTGACTAGGGAGAAAACAGACATCCCCATGTGCTTCCAGGAGGATGACGAAGGAAATCTCTTGATAGGTCTGCTATCCAAAAGAGATTAATATCACGTCCCCAGAAATCCTGAAACCCTCAGGTTCACATTGCTTCCTTTCTTTGGGACTGCCAATTAATTCTCGAGCAGAGGTTAAAGCAAAACACAACAAGTCACAGACCATTCTTCCGACTATGGCAGCTGCCTTAACACACTTACCTCCTGTTGGCCATTTTTCCCCCTTTAAAATTTCTTTGAGATTGTAATTTAGTCATAACATTTCTCCCTTCCTTTACTCTCTCTCAACCCTTCCAGATACCCCTCTCCACTCTCCTCCAAATTCATGGCCTATTTTATTTTTCCTAATTGTTATTGCATGCAGGTGTATGTATAAGGATATACATCTGTACATGCACACGCATCTATGTGTGTATGCACGTGTGGTTCTATGTAATATAACTGTTCAGTCTGTAAATGCTACCTGTACGTATGTTTCCAAGGCTGATCATTTGGTGCTGGACAAGGACTTGGTGTGCTCTTCCGTGGGGAAGACTACTTCTCCTATTTCCAGCCTTCTTCAGTTGCCTATAGTTCTCTGCGACCTCATGTAATATTTTCATGTGCTGCAAAGATCTATCAGTGTCCCGCTCTAACCCTGATTTTTCATCTGAATACCAGCATTGTGTGGACAGAAGCCTAACGGCTTTCCTCAAATTCCCTAGCTGGGTGCAAACGCCCCAGGCTGGCTTTGTATCAGAGCAGAATGCTCAACATTCACATTAATTGCCTCTTATCTCTGGTTTCTTTTCTAATAAAGCCTTTATTGCATTCAAATCACAGAAAGATTAACTATTCTCCTAGCTGTTTTATGTCCCAATTGGTCTGGTACTTTGATCCAAAAGAGAAGGTGTATCTATTGCAGAGGGAATTTTTAAAAAAATTTCTCCCTGAATGTAGATAGAGAAAAAATTACTCAGATTGAATGAAACTTTTATTTTAAAATGTATTTGTAGTTTTTTTTTCTTTTTTTCCTCACAGAACAGAGAACTAAAAACCAAACCAACAATGAGTCGTGACTGGTGAAGGGCTAATGCGGCCCGACCCTTTTCCCTCAACTGTTGGCTGCCCTGATAGATTCTGGGAGAGGGGGTCACCGTTTCCAGTGTGGACTCCCCGCTAAGCCCACCAGGGCTCAATGGACAGCTCTAGACCTCAGACAGGGAGCCTGTTAGACTCAGCAGGTGCTAGAAACAAAACAAACAAGCTGGGAAAGAGATTTGTAGAGAAGGGAGCTGCATAGGGGTGGCAGGTGAGAGTAATCAGTTTGTAATATATACATGTATGAAATTGTCAAACAACAGGGCGGGACTTAGAGATGGTTCAGTGGTTAATAGTGCTTGCTGGCTTTGTATCTCCAGCTCCAGGGGTCCGATGCCTTCTTTTGGCCTCTGCAGGCATCTGTGCTCATGTGCACGCAACCAGAAATAAGATAACTAAGCTTCATTTTCCAAAAAGAATTTGTCAAAGGACAACTTAACATATTAAAAAGTACCCCACAAAATGAAAGAGAGCAGAAGCATGACTAAACAAATCCCACAATCCTTTGCTATACTTTCTGTAACTTAAGCTGGTAAATGATTGCGAGTACTTGAGTGATTCCTAAAGGCCAGATACTCCCCAGTGGAGAGAAGACAGCGGTAAATGGGACATGTGGCTGCCGACACCTTAACACTCCTGTGTTGCTAGACATGATGTGTGCCTGTGATTCCAGGAACTCAGGAGGCAGGTGTGGGAAGATAACTCAAGTCTGTGAGTTCGAGACTAAGACACTATTTCTAAATAAACAGAATAAATAAGTGGTATTAAGCATATTTAGAAGGAGAAAGGCCTGAATTTGGCTTACTTCTAGTTACCAATTACTTAACGTAAATTATTATTTAGTTTAATTCCTGAAACAGTTTTATAAGAATGGTCAGTCCAGTTTATAGATGAAGACACTGAGGGCCAAGGGTTTTAAATCTTTAGTCCAGATTATCAACTCAGGTAAACTACCAGAGTTGGGGTCTAATTCCAAAATACACCTCTGGGTTGTATGGGCAGAGCTGATTTCTAGTGATTCAAGCTTCTTTCAATGCTTTGCCATCCTCTTCCTCCTTCATGTCATTTACTCTTTTCTCCGTATAGTGGGATGGCAGTGGCAGTTTATCATTTTGCTGCTTCCAGCAGCATTTTCTCTGATAGAAGACCAGAATGAAAGGGCTGCAGGAAGATGCCTCTCAGCAACAGCAGCAACAGCTGTAGCCCAGCATCTGAAGTGTGGTTAGAGTAATATGCACCATGATATGATGTAGAGTAACAGTGGCTTTTTATCAGAGTGTTGCGCAGGTAGCATAGCGTGCCTACTCACCATGGTATAGTGTGGTTAGAAGAGCATGGTTGTCTACTGCGGGCCTGCACATTTGTATTTCTCCCGTGTTTCATGTCATAGCACCTTTTATAGGCAAAAAGTAATATTATTCCTATACTTGATTACACAATGGAAATAAGCTCTGAACCCCAATATACAGATTTGAAACATGAAGATCCTTTATAAATTTCCAGTCCTATCTATGTTTATGCAAATGGTTAGAAAATGTCCTTTGTAATAAATCATGTGGCCGCTGAGGCAGACTCATCTATGGAGGACTTTTAGGACCTTTGGCAGACAAAGTTCTGTTCTATAGGATTTGATTGTTTGCTTTGAATGAACACAGTCTAGGCCACGGGTTTGTTTGGTTTTGGTTTTGGAGTTCCAGATCTTCCAGGCACACTTGCTGTAACTCTCCCTACCAGAACGTGCAGAAACTGCTAATAGTACACATAGTCCTGCTCTGTGCAGGCACAGCCTGGCATGGTCTAGCCAGACCCTCTTGATAGAATCTCCATTAAACATATTCTAGAGGAAATGAAGCTGATTGGTGAGCTCTAGGGCAAGCCTCTCTTTCCCCAAAAGGTGTTAGGCATTCTATTCTCCACTCTGACGTTGAGGTTTTGGCTTCACCGTAGGTTTCAATGTCAACCACCTGGACATCGCTCCACGCTATGCCAGCATTCTCATGGGGATCTCAAATGGAGTGGGAACCCTGTCCGGAATGGTCTGTCCCCTCATCGTGGGCGCAATGACGAAGCACAAGGTAGTGATCTGCTCTGTGGCTCCGATATCAGGGTGGAGATCTCAGGGGCTGCCCGAGGGTCTAAGCATGTGTGTCCTTCAACAGCTGCTCCTTCTTTCTTCCTCTTCCTTCTCTCCTGCCCTACTGTTTATTTTATTGATGACACGAGGACTCATGGTTATCTAGTTGCACATCTTCTCGGCTGAGAAATAAATGTTAGGAGGAGAGAAAAAAGGCCATAGAGATTGCTTAGAGACACAAAGAAGAAACTCAGGCAGCCAACCTGGAAGGAAAGATTTATTTAAGATGGTTTTATGATTCTAAGTGCTAAAACTGGGCAGCCCATTTCCACTCATTACTTAGAATGTCACACACAAAGCTTCCCACATTGTTTAGGAGAAAATAAATGACATTAATGAGCTTTCCTAAGAGCCTTCAAGGGGACTAGAGACATGGTTGAGAAGCTCACAGCTCTTGCTGGTCCTTAAGAGGACTAGGGTTCAGGTCCCTGCACATGCATGGCTCACAACCATTAGCGACTCCAGTATCAGATCCCCTGGGGCTGCCGGTACAGATGGTAGTGGGCCACCCCGTGGCTGCAGGGAACTGAACTTGGGACCTCTACAAGAATATCACGGATGCCCTCTTGGGGCTCCATGGGCACTAGGCACACGTGTAGGAAAAGACCTCTATGCAGACAAAACAGCCATAAACATAAACATAAACACATATAGACACAATATAAAAACATCCTGAACCTTTAAGGCTGTGTGTGGTACTTTATTGAACTTTTGTGGTTTTTACATTTATTTTTTTACTTTAAGATTTTTTTTGTCCGTTTGTGTATATGTATCATGGAAGCCAGAAGAGGGCAGCAGATCCCCGGGAGCTGGAGTTCCAGATGGTTGAGAGCTACCTTATGGGTACTGGGAAATGAACGTGGGTCCTCTGCAAGAGCATCCAGGATATTTAACCCCTGATCCATCCCTTCAACCCCATATGACCTGCATTTTTTATGTATTTATTTTGATATAGATTTTATATTAAAATGGCATTCACTGTGGTCTTAACTTTCATTTTCAAGTACTCAAATGAAGTGTAGATTCTGGATGTTGGTCCTCCCAGAAGCACAATGTGGCCTTTGAGGGGCAGATGCTTTCACCCGGGTGAGGCCTTTAGCTCTGTTCTTGCTTAAAGCGGTAACCGGCACTTCCTTTGTCAGACCCGCGAGGAGTGGCAGAGTGTGTTCCTCATCGCAGCGCTGGTGCACTACGGCGGCGTCATCTTCTATGCGGTCTTTGCTTCTGGGGAGAAACAGGACTGGGCTGACCCTGAGAATCTCTCTGAGGAGAAATGTGGAATCATTGACCAAGATGAACTGGCCGAGGAGACAGAACTCAACCACGAGGCTTTCGTAAGTCCCAGGAAGAAGATGTCTTACGGAGCCACCAGCCAGAACTGTGAGGTCCAGAAGAGGGAGTGGAGACAGCAGAGAGAAGCTGCCGTCGAGGGGGAAGAGCCACCGTCCTACCAGAACGAAGAGGGGGACTTTCCAGAAACATCCTAACGCCTACCTTCTCCTCAGCTGACAGTCGGAAGTATCCATGCCCATTGCCTTTCCCACACCTTGGCTTGCCAGGGGGCCAAATCACGGGGTTCTGGAGGTAGTGGGAGAGGAGGAGATCAAAGTAACGGCAGAGAAAAGAGAAATGCCTTCTTCCAGAGATAGGACTATGAACCTTGGTCTCAACTGATACAATAGTAGATCATATTTTTTTTTTTGGGGGGGGGGGGGAGGGAGGTAGACATTGGCTGTTGATCCTTCTCTTAAAGAAGTAGTTATTGAGGAAGAAATGGCTAGGAGAATAAGGAGAAGATTGTTGCTCAGGCAAACATAGACATACCCTTTTGCCCTGGAGAAGAGTATGTGGTTGGCACCACATCTCCTAGGATGCCCATGCAGAGGAGAGTTTCCTAGACCTAACAAAGGAAACCGCTCACGGAGGCCCTCTACCCTGGCAGGTGCTTTCTGAACATTGTATTCGACCTCCACACCCTGTTACATATCATTACACCCACTTTACAGCTGTGAACACCAGAGTAACAGGTTGACCCACCAAGGCCATCCTTCAGGGCCGAGGCTGACCGAGGCTGAGACTGGCAGATGAATGGAGTTTCAGGAAAGAAGGGTCCAGCTCAGTGTAGAGACAGAAACAGAATGGAGTCAGCTGCTTTGTGGGTAATGCTGTGTTCGATCAATGGTGTGTGTGTGTGTGTGTAAATATTTAGACTAATGTGGCAGAGAGGATTCAAACATGAAATTCTGGACCCAAGACCCTTAAGGTCCTATATTACCTGTTGGACCAAATAATTGGGTAAATAAATGGCTTTTTTTTTTTTTAAAAAGCCTCAAACTAGTGAAAAACATAAGGCTAAGCAAGACAGCTCAATTTCCAGGAATGTCTTAAAAGTAGTATATGAAGGGTTGGTGATTAAATTTAAACCCTCAACAGTATCAGGAATGTAGGCGAGTAATGTCCTAAGTTAACTATAAGACCCAAAGACGTTGGCTAATCTAAGAAGGTTCAGGGAAGACTATTTATGTAACTGTCTCGTGAGAGAGACTAGTGTAAACAAAAATGTACCACCAGCTTTCTCTGCTGGGGAGTATAACAGGGGTGTGGCCACAGGGCATAAAGTGCCCCAAATAGCCATGATGACTTTACCTAGGATGCTCACTGAAAACAAAAATAGCAGTAGTTTTATAGGGAGAAACTGCAGTTAAAGTGTCTGACACAACCAGGCCTCTTACTGGTGTGGAAAAATTCTTGTTGGGCAATAACCTGGATACTCCCTAACTACATTTAGAATGTAATGCTGGCATATAAGTGCTTATTAGAAGATTAAATTATTTTCCTGCTCTTTAGTTTTGAAAATTTTATTTATATTTTCAGAAGGAAAATTTAATATGATGATAAAATATAGATTTGCTTGCATAATATTTATTTTCCCCATTTTATTTCTGGGTCCTTGTTATACTTAAGGAGTTATAATGCACTTTATGGAAAGATTAATCCTAGGTCTTAAAAGGGAATGGCTGGATTTTCATTTAATAATATTCTTTATAATTTGTAAATAATTCATGTTATGAGATATTGTTAAATCTCATATAATGTGAATCTCTGTAGGTCCCCTAGAGCACATCTTGGCAGAAAGAAATACTCAAGAAATAGCAGTTACCTGAGCATTATCTTTAACTCTAGTGCAGCCATGTCATCAGTAAAAAGAATGCTGTGTCATTTCATCCACGGGCCACAAAGTTTATTATTATGAAAATGGTATTGTTTTCTTGGTTTAAAAAAGGAATTAATTGTGTTTATTTCTTTGTGTGTTAATAAAGCAGAATAATTATATGTATGAAAAAAGCAAAGCCTCATGATGATGATGAAGGCGATGTTGTAGATTGTGACACAGTTTATTATTAGTGTTGATGTCATGCAGAAATGCCACATTTTGCTTATAACTTGCACATACTTTTTTTAATGGCTAAACCATGGCATTAAACGCTATAAAGCATGTTACCTTGTGGTGATGTTCTTTCCACACAGGCTGAACTGGGCCACTAATTACACCTGAACGGCACTGACTGGTGACGGCCACCAGTTTTTGTAGCTCTTCTCTCTAGCTCTCCATTTTTAGAGCTCTCCTTCAGAGAGGGAGTGTGGATTCCAGCAGGAGAGGTCCAGAGGATGTTGGATTACTGAAATAGAGTCTTGGTTATACTTTTTCAAACAATTACAGTCGTGGCTATTCCTGAAAGTGAGCAGAATGATTAATAATGTTTTAAACATAATGAACTATTTGTTATGTTTTCCTGGATATTAAATCCAGTATAGAGCCCAGTATTTCTATTTCACATCACAGCCTCTCAAACTCAACATACTTGTTTTTCCTTTTCTTTCATCTTTTCTTGGTTAATCACATTGTCTCTTGTTCAAGCTGGAACTCTCAAAACAGTCTTTGACCTAAGAAATTCTCCAGAGTTCTCTCTTTTCTCTGCCAAGTTTCTTTAGGTTATTTTTCCGTCTATGCATTCACATCTATAGAGACACAGCTTTGGAAACTCCACCATCATCTCTCAAGATGTGGCTTCAGTTTTAAAATTTATTCACCTATATTAATTATTCATAACAGTGTTTTCATCGTGATAGTTTTATTAACACATACTCACCATGTCTTTTGATCATATTCACCCTGGTCCTCTGATTGTGCCCTTTTCTGATCCTCTCTCTTTATACTAGACCCTCTTCTTAGTTTATTTTCTTCCTTCTTTGTTTAGTCCCTGTTACTTCTCACGGCTTCTTTCCTCCATTTGAACATGTCTTGTCTTCTCATCCTCCTCTGTAGCTCCCTTCCCCTCCTTTCTCTCCTAGCTCACAGAAGTGTGGCTTTGGTCATGGGCAGTTGGGCAGGTAGGACTCTCTCCAGTATATCCCTTTTAGACCTATCCCTACCATTCCATATGGCAACAATACGCCACTGAAATTAAAAGGCTAACCTCCATGTGAAAGTACTGGCGTAGTTTCTTCTCAAACCGGCCAGCACCGGCCAGCACCTGATTACCCCCCACACACCCCAGCTAGATGAACAACACTCAAGAACAGAGGTTCTCCACCCGTGGTTCGCAACCCCTTTGGGGTCGTGTATCAGATATCTTGCAATCAGATATTTAGATTATGATTCATAACAGTAACCAAATTATGGTTGGGGTTCACTGCAACATGAGGAACTGTATTAAAGGGTCATAGCATTAGGAAGGTTGAAAACCACTGATCTAGGGAGACAATGTTAACGTCTCTGAGAAATTAGTAGAAATTACTCTGAGGTACTGAGAATATAGAATAACCATAAAGGCTAGCTAAATACTACCACTTAAAGAATTGTTCAAAATTGTGCTAGTTATATAATCAAAGTAAATCTCATTTCTCTCCAGATTAGATGATTATACACAGCATGAGGAAATTTCTTAGTAATTGTATAACTTTTTCACAAGACAGCTTTTTTTTTGTTCTAAGGGTACCAATTATTCAAAATTGTTTCCAAGATTTTATGGTCAATGATCATCACTGAAATCTACTTTTTTTTTTTCTAATACAGGGTTTCTCTGGGTAGCCCTGGCTGTCCTGAACCCGCTTTGTAGACAGGCTGGTCTCAGACTCACAGAGATCTGCCTGCCTCTGCCTCGGAAGTGCTGGGATTAAAGGCGTGCACCACCACACCAGGCTTGAGATCTACATTTTTATAAAGGATGCCATGCTTCATGGGATGAGAGTACTTCAGAGTTCACGGATACTTCATTTTAAAAATATTCTCTGGGAATAAGTTTCATAGTCAGTTATGCTCTAAAATATGATCCGGACTGTTATCAGAATTTTAAAGTTCTCCATTGAAATGGGGATTAAGAGTCAAATGACTCCACTTTAAAGAAAAAATTGGGTAGTGGTGGTGTATGCCTTTAATCCCAGAACTTGGGAGACAGAGGCAGGTGGATCTGTGAATTCGAGGCCAGCCTGGTCTACAGAATGAGTTGCAGGACAGCCAAGGCTACACAGAGAAACCCTGTCTCAAAAAAACAACAAAATTGTTAATTTATTTAGTTATTTTGCTAGTGCTTGTAGGTCCATGCAGTTTGACTATGCTTGAGGGATAAGTTTACTTTGAGAAAGAAATTCTAAGGTCCAATGGTCCAACACGGCCACATGAGCTTTTCTTTCTCTTTGACAAAGGCATATATTTAAATATTTTAGGAGTGCTGAAGAATATGATTCTTGTGGATGTATTCATCAATGTATTGAGGCAGCTGAAGAGTTGTTTATTCTGTATCAGTGCATGATGAAATGCCACTAAGTTTCTATGTTTTCAGGGCACAACCAACCCTATTTATTTGCTCATAGTTCTCTGAGTCAGGAATCTGGGCTGTGCTCAGTGAGATGGTTCTTCTGATGGCTTCCCTTGGCCTCAGTCCTGTGACTGCAGTCATTTGATGCTTGGCTGTGACTTGACCTCACTGGTAGATGATGCTACCTGTGGTTCCCCTGTTCCATGCCATGTGACTTCTCATGCTCCTCTCTGGTAGATCTACCATCTTAACAGGGTGGACTTGGATCAGTGTCATGTGGAGGAGATAGTGGATGCTGCAGGGCCTCTTGAAGCCAGATCTCAGATGTCTCACAATGTCATGTCTTCTGTGTTCTACAGGAGAGTAGAGGCAGCTCAAAAATGGACTTGCTGGGTTATGTTAAAAGAAGGCATGGAGTTGGGGAGGATATGGAGGGTTGGATGTGGGAGGAGTTAGAAGAGTGTGTGTGTGAATACGATCAAAATGCATCATAGGAAATTCTCAAGGAATCAATAAAATATTTTAAAATAAAAAAGAAATGAGATCATGTGCCAACATGCCTTTAATCCCAGCATTTGGAGACTGAGGCAGAAAAATTGTCATGAATTTGAGGCCAGTCTGGGCTACATTGCAATTACCAAGCTAGTCAGGGCTACAAAGCAAGACCCTGTCTCAAAACTAACAAACAAAAAACACAAGCAAATAAACTAAAGAGCAAAGGACTGAAGAAACGACTCAGAGGTTTAGAGCATGATCTTACGAAGAAGCCGTGTTTGATTCCCACATGGTCCACAACCATTCATAACTCCAGTTCCAGGGACCCCGCATCCTCTTCTAACGTTTTGGGGTACCAGGCACATGTGTGGTGCACATACATGCAGGTAAATAATCAAAACAAAGCAGAACAAAAAATGTGAACAAAACCACAACAAACAACCACTCCCAAACAACAAATGAGATATAAATTATGCATATTGAGTGTGTGGCTTTTTTCCCATTTCCCAAGATTAAATGATTATTAAAAAAGCGTGCCACACTGTATAGAAATGTGTGACTTTTAATCACCGAAGAGAGAAATACTGTGCTCCTTAATAGTCATTCTCCCATCTCCTATCTACTTCCTGTCTCTATCGGTTTGCCCATTTTGACCTCTTCATGTAATCAGCATCATACAAAGTATGACATTCTGTGTATGACTTCTTTCACTGATGTTGCTTTTAAGGTTGATCTATACTGCAGCTATTTCCTGGTAGAATAATATTGCATCGTATGGATACATTGTGCATTCTTCGTTTTATGCATCAGTTGATAGGAATTTGGTTTGTTTCTACTTTTTTGGATCTTGTTAATAATGTTTAAGCCCTGCCTCTTTAAGAAAGCGTTTGGCTACTGTTTCACGAGCCTTTTAAAAATATTTTAAGAATGTGGTGTAAACATCTCATTGGCTCCCCACAGTTATTGGAAGGATGTTATTAAAATAGAAAATTAGATGGCTCAGTCGGTAAAGGTACATGCTTTGCAAGTATAATGGATTTGAATCTCCAGAATTCACATTAATAAAACTGCATGGCTGTGCATGCCAGTAATGTCTGTGTTGGTTGGGCAGGGGTTGAGGCAGGCAGATCCTGAGAACTGGATCCTGAGAGTTTGCCGGCCGGAGAGGGCCTATCCAAACCAGAGCGCTTGTGGTTCAGTAAAAAGCCCGCGTCAAGGCAAAGCAGCAGAGTGGTAGAGGAAGACGCTGCCGTCCTGTTATGGCCTCTGTATGGCATATGCACACGTGAGTGTGTACATGCATGGTTGTGCAGACTACACATACACTGCATACACACACAGGGGGACACATGCATGTATGCACACACACAGAGATTGGGTCACGTTTCACTTCCCCCCTTACAAAGCTGCCCTTAACGCACCTCAGACCCTCTTCAGTTTGTCCTCACTTCATTTCTTTGGGTTCCTCCTGTGCATCAGCTTCACTGGGTTCTATCTGACGTGTGAACATATGGCTGCGCTCTGCTTAGGGCCTTCCGGTGTTTGGTCCATTAGAATACAGAGTCCACGAGGGGGAGGAACACTTGTGTGTTCCTTTTACTGCTACATCTGTCGCACATAAAATTGTGCCTAACAGGTGGACTGGTATTCATTAATTCTATGTAAAATGAGTGAGTGAACGTGTTTTTTATCCATGTAGCAGACTCAGTCTATATAAAACACTAGATTTCTTTGTGTTTGGCTAGAAGTATGGCTTGGACTGTGAGTCTAACCTATGCTGATCAAAAGTCCTAATGAGTATAGATAGGTCTTTGACCAGGCTCATCAGTTAGACCCATTACAAAAATACAGAAATGATTATGTGATGCATCAATATATTTGGTAAGGTAAAAATAAAAAAAAATATTTAAAGCCTGGGATTTATGTGGGAGAAATTGTGGGTAAACAAAGGGGGATGCCTGGTGATTGAGAAGCTTGGGGTCAACTGTTCCAAATTTCCATCTAAGAGGGTCTTGGAACATTTGGGTAATGACTGAGAAATTCCAGGAAAAGGAGCTTCATTCTAAATAAACATTTATCAGCACATACCATTTGCTGAGCTGTTCAAAGGTTTCTATTGCAATTCATTTTGGCAGCTCTTGTATTAAACTGAGGCAGCAGAGAGTGGCAAAGGTTTTATTTATCTCCTGTTATTATCTGTTGACTTTTGAAAAGCTTAGCAGCAGGCAGCTATAGAGTAGCCAACCCATTGAGAAAGGTGAAGCAATGTCTTGGGAAGCCCAAGGTTCCACCAGACCCCCTTTTAAGGGCTGTGTGGCCACAGCCCAGGGAGCAGAGGATCAGACTCAAATCCCGTGTTA